CCCCAAAACCCCAAAACCCCAAAACCCCAAAACCCCAAAACCCCAAAACCCCAAAACCCCAATATGAGTGGGTACTTTTTAAGCTAAAAAAGATATTATTAAAGCTAAAATTATAATTTTAACTTATGATCGTTTCTGAAAAATACGAATGTGGAGATATTATTGGAGAAGGCTCCTACTCCCAAGTTAGAGCTGCCACTGACCTCTCCAGTGGCAATAAAATTGCACTTAAATTATTCAAATCTTCAAAGGAAGAGGCGAAAAAGCATGTTAAAGAAGCAGAGCTTCTAGAGACTTTATCTCATAAGAATATTGTCAGATGCTTTGAATTTGCACTTGATGCAGACCTTAAGCAAGATAATAGAGTCAAACAAGTCAGCTACATCGCTACAGAATTAGCTGAGAAGGGCTGCTTATTTGACTATATCAAGGCATCTCAAGGGCTAAGCGAGCAGTTAGCCAGGCTCTTCTTTGGCCAAATTTTGGGAGCAATTGAATTTCTTCACTCTTCAGGAATTAGCCATAGAGATATCAAATCTGAGAACATTTTCCTGACTCAAAAATATGAAGTGAAAATGGGTGATTTCGGGTTTGCTACAAAGGATATTACCGATACCACTTACTGAGGATCTTCCTGCTACATGGCTCCTGAGATTAACATGAAGAAAAAATATAACTGTCAAGCCACAGACATCTTTTCACTCGGTGTTTTGCTCTTTTTCATGGTTACTGGGAAATATCCATTTGCAAGAGCCAATGAAAGTGATTGAAAATTTAAAATTTTGTCTGCTGGAAAAACATCCTTATTCTGGCGCACATCTCTAAGATCCAAAGAAAGACTTAGCAAACTGTCTCCAGAGTTTATTGAACTCGTAACCATGTGTCTTTCCTGAAATCCAATAGAGAGACCTTCAGTTTCAGAGATCAAGTGCCACTCTTGGATGAAGACTGGAGAAGTAAAGTCATCCCCAGAAGATGAATTTATTTGCTCTGAAGAGGTTACATCAGAACTTCAAAAGATCGAATCCAACATCGAAGATGTATCTGATCAGCTTATCTCTTTTCATTAAGAGTGTTCTGATTTCTGACGAAACACCAATTACGTAATGCAAGGTTTCTAGTGGCTAATTTTTGATAAATTCTATTCTCAGTTGGTGCTGAGAATTTGAGTTTGTTTCCAAAATTAAGACACGACAAACTCTCCATTACAAAATTAACTATAAGTCCTATATAACAGTGGTTGGAGAAAAATGAGCCATATTAGCTCTATCCAACCTCGTTATTAGCGACACCATAATTTTAAGCTAAAACTAAAATTCATTAACTCCCAAAAGGGGTTTTGGGGTTTTGGGGTTTTGGGGTTTTGGGG